CAAAATAAAAAATGGAAAAAATACAAAAAACAATTAATAAAAAAAGAAGCAAAAAAACAAAAAGGGCTGATAACAGTGGGTGTCATGCACAACACTATTGCCACCCACTCATTTGAAACCCTTTAGCCCTCTGTACCACTACCCGTATCCTACACTTGCTTACCACACCTACTTTCAGAGCCACCAGTTTCACTATCCCTTGGTAACGCTGATTACGGTTGGGGAAGGTGGGGCTTGTCCCTGTTCAAGCCCTATAAAGGAAGGGGAATTTGGCAAAAAAAATACCTAAAAAAAAAAGAGAAAGACCCTTTGCCAAGCAAAAAAAAAAAAAAACCACCACTAAAAAATAAAAAGCCCCACTGCCAAAACAAAAAGAAAGAAAAGTACAGAATTTGTATTTGAATTTGAATTTGTATAACTCAAGTTATGATTTGAATTTGTATAACTCAAGTTATGATCAAATTAGTGAGTAAAGTACAGAATGGGAAACAACCGCCAGCTTGGACATGATCGATCCCCTCTAGAAGGGATCGATTGCTTCCTCAAACAGAATGCCCCTCCCCCCCAAGATGAAAATCCAGAAAAGAGATCGATCTCCCCACATAAGAGATTGATCACCCAAGTAAGGGATCGATCGCCTCAAGAAAGGGATCGATCGGGTAAGGCTTTTGAAGCACAAAATTGTGCTTCAACCAACATGAACCAATCGATCCCCTCAAGAGGGGATCGATCGGTTCTAGGTGTGAAGACCTCTAATGGCTACTTTTTCATCATTCTAACGGGCATTTCTTCACTCCAAACTTCCCCAATAGATAGTTTCTCAATTTTTTTATAAATTGGACACTCCACTATAAATTGGACACTCCAACACACTAAGAAGCAAGAGAAAATAAGAGGAATCAATAGAGCAAGAGTCAAGAAGCAATATTTTCATTCTCTCAAATAATCAAGAGTTTTTAGAGCTTCAAAGTCTATATCTTTGTATTTATTGTATCCAAACTATTTTTGTTGTTCATTCATCATTCTCTTGTCTATACCTTTGTGTACTTCAACTTAGCAAACACTCAATCTTTGTAAGGTTCTTAGAGTTTGCAAAACACTTCATTTTTCTATTTTATGAGTTTGTAAGCTTAAGGGAAAGGATACCCTTAAGAGTATATTGTGTTGAGTTTGTAAAGCTTAGAGAAGCTTGGTTGTAATCTTCAATACTTATAGTAGATTGAACTCCTTGGTAAGAAAAGCTAAGGGAGAGGACGTAGGTATCTAAGGAATGACTGAACCTTTATAAATCGTGGTGTTATTTTCTCTATCTCTATCTCTTATTTACTTTCAATTATTGTGTTTAATTGTTTAGCAAAAGTTATGCTTATTAAATATTATTTTTGAAAACTTCATTAAAACCAATTCACCCTCTTCTTGGTTTATTCTAAATCCTTGAGCTAACAATTTTAAATCCCCATGGTAACTTTGCATATATACCAAGCAAATAGAGATGAAGCAATTGTTCTCAACTAAAAGTTTCTATGAAAAGCAATAGACATTGAAATCATTATAAAACTTTTCTACTTGAAAGTGAAAATAAAATGGTCTTACGAGATTATCACTTGCACATAGAAAAATGAGCAAGCTATCATGCAACTTATTTAAAAAGTTGTAGTAAATATACATCATTGATATGCTGAATGTAGAAGAATGAAAATCTCCTAGTCTATCAAAGCTTTTATTTTTCTTTGCTAATAGTGAAGTTCCCAAAACATGTGCCTTTACTTACACCCTCATTTAAAGAACAAAACACATGAAGATATTCTTTGATAACAACTAAATAAACCTTAAAAAAAGAAAGATTACATTCATAAATTAGTGAGGCATGATAATTAGATTCATATAAAATAGACAACATCAGAGTCTTCCAAATATCATAACCTAGAGAAAAAAAAGAAGCATAGCTTTATTTGTATCTTATAAAATAAACAAAAAAATGTTGTAAACATTAAGAAATCAAATCAACTTTGCTACAAAAGCGCACAATAAAAAATAGTATAAAATATTAAAGAAAAAATTATAAAAATTATTACAAAAAATATGTGTATGATTTTTTAGTGGGTTTAATTAGGGTTGTAAAATTAGTTTATGAAGTTTAATGACATATACACTCACTACAATATCAACAAACTAACATATCAAAGCATAAATGTATTAAAACATGTCAAACTCCAAAAATATAAACTATTTAAGATGTATAATTAAATTACCCCATATAGTGTGGCCTCTATTGACATGATAAATAACCCAATTAAATTGCCCCATACCAGTTAAAAATATGGAGGGCTGTTGTTGCTATCATGACATTAAAGAAATTATATGCCTAAGCTAGCTAATTATAAATTGATTTTACCTTTGTAACATTTGGATGGTCAAGCTTATACCAAACAACAACCTCTTACCAGAATGATGCTCGAAAAGTAGCAGCTTTAGCACCTATGGTAATTCCATCCTCCACCAATCCCATACCTTCACTAAAATAGTAACAGCTCTTCATAGTTAGGATGTCAGTAGGTGGAGCATGATTATTTTTACTATTGTAGATAAGCATTAGATGTTTTATTAGGAAATCAAATAGGGACAAAATATAGGCAGCAAGTGTTATGGAGACAATTATTTAACATTATTGCCCTTAGAGTATAAAATATCAAAGAAAAATTTATAAAACTTATAACAAAAAAATGTATGTATGGCTTTTTTATAAGTTTCATAAAGATTGTAAAATTAGTTTATGAAGTTTAACGGCATATACATTTACTACAATATCAACATGCTATCATATCAAAGTATAAATGTATTAAAAACATATCAAAGTGTACACATGAATACATATTATTCACTAACATGTGTAAGCTAATGTAAACACAGAAAGCTACACTATCAAACATATAATGTGCATTGAAGTACTTAACTTGCTCCATCAAAAAGTACTTAATTTACATAGATAATATCTTTAAAGGGGCTAAGTAAAAAATACATTTGCCTACTTCTTGAAATATAAATCAAGCATAACTTTTTAGTTAACAATCTTGCAACAAGTGAAATGAGTGTAAAACCAAAAACAAAATTCAAGAGATAAGTATCATTTTTGAACCTTTATATCTATTTAAATGCAATCAAAGATCCGATATCTTTCACAAAAAGATCAAACTATCAATCTGTAAATACAGAAACATCAGCACATTATCAATTTCTATTTGAATATGTGTAAGCCAAATAAGTTAATCAAATATATTTCTTAATACTTTTAAGTGCCCATATAACAACAAAAGCATTCAATAAGAACAAAAAGACACTCATGCCTCAGGTAGTTTTATAATAATAGAAAAATACATAATTCTATCTTTAATAAAAATAAATTATCCTCTAATTGTTAACCTTGGAAGAAGTCCCTGTTAGAATTGATAGTAATTTTAATCTTCTCTTGGCTATGAGTCACAATTTAATTGAGTGCACCAACCTTGATTTTGTCTTGAAAAAACTTCTCTAATGAGGCAAATGAGCACAAAAAATAAGTTTAAAAGAAATTGAGCGTATAAACATTAAAATTAATGACCAATAAGTAACTAGGAATAAAACCAATTACACTAAAGTTCTTGCCACTATCACTTTTCCTTCCTTTTTAAAATCATAATTAATAAACAAATAAGTATATAAACACTAAGACCCATGGTGATAGAAGTGAAGACTTTTAGTTAATTTAAAGTTAACCTTATAACAAATGGAAAGGCAAAAACAATGAATAAGTTTCAATTCTTATCAATTTAACTAGATTATTTAGTTAAAATAATGTCGTTTCTGTTGAACGTCGGAACAAAATTAATTAAACCCACCACCACTACCACTACAACTATTGTTAATCCAATCTTGAGAACTCAATAATAGAAACCCAATATTATCTCAATACAACTATGCTTGTATGCCCATTCTCTCTTTTTCTTCAACCAATAAATAACCCCTATTAAAAGAATAAAAAAAACCAAAAAACCACCAAAGCATACTAACAAAAAAAAAAGAAGATCAAAGCATAAATGTATTAAAAACAAAAAAATTGAAGTTTGTTGTAAGAGAGATAGAGGCCTATGTAAGAGTTTGAATATTTACGTAAGTAACAAGAAAATTAGAAAGTAAAGACTAAATAGTTGATGGTCTTCAACAAAAATCATTGTTGTTGCTGTTAAGCCATTTGCAACTTTGTTTTTTTGTTCTCCTTTCCTCTGTCTCTCCCTTTCTTCCCACCTTTCCACTTGGTCTTTCAATGCCGATTATAACAACTGTTGACGTTGATTATTGATTCCCTCCCTCTTACGTCGCCTTTATTCTTTTTTATTGTTCCCTTTCCTTTACTTTCTTTTTAGTTTTTTTCCTTCTACCATCTATTTTTAAAAAGCTTCAATCTTTGTCTTTTTAAATACTAAAAGATAAAAAATAAAAAACCTTATTTAACCAAAAGCTTTTCTTTTATCAGCATTTTAATTTTTTAAAACTAAAAGTTAAAAAAAAATCTTGTGACGGCAATAAAAGAGTTAATATGATATGACTATTATGCCTTAAATACATTTAAAAAATGTCAAAAGAATTTTATAAAAGATAAATATCTCAAGCAATTGAGTTTGGACACGTGTCAACCAACATTTCAATTGAAAGAGACTTTTTTATTCCTTGTTATAGATAATTTGTCTATAATTACTAAATAATTAGATGCAAACTTGATAAATTTGAAAAATATAAAAACGTCAACTCATTTTATTGATTTAAATACATAAAATTAAAAAGTGAATTGACTATTCAATTAGGTCCTAAAAAAGTCCATTCAACAATCAAAACATGGCCTCACAAGTGTTTTAAAGCCCAATTGGAGGGCTGAAAATCCAAAGTAAAACCCAAAGTCCATAACCCAAAAAATAGGCCGAACAAAAAACCTAATGGAAAAAAAAAAAAAGAAAAAAAATCTACTTGATAATTGTGATAATTTCCGGCTATTTGCTTGTGATATTTGTCTATAAAACCTTTACATATACCCAACAATACGACACAATCTTTCTCTTTTTGGTACTTCACTTGCTTCGTATTTCGTGCTATCCTCTCAAAACCCTAGATTTGTTTTTCCTTCTACATTTTGATGGCGGAGGAAGAGGTCGTCGCGGCTGCACCCAGCCCCGTCCCCTCCGATCATAAGCGGAAGCTTGAGGACGTCGAGCCCCACGGCCTCCATGTCGACGTGCCGCTGGACTCTGCTGTACACCCTGATACGGAGGATAGTGATGTAGCGGCATCTGATTCGTCCGAGGCCAAGCGGCCTAGGCTCGACGACGATAAAACCGACGGCTTAGGTAATGATAATATAATTCTTCCTTTTCCTTTTGGTTTTACTTTAGGGTTTTCTAATGAACAATTTGAGTAATGGATTTAATAGTTTAATATTAGTTCTAGGGTTTCCTTGTTATTATCAGCAATTTTGATTTTGGGTTAATTGAAAATTTTTTATTTGATAGAACAGCTTGTCAGGAAAGTCGAAGATGTTTAAGAATTGTGAGTTTTGTTGGTAAAATTATGTGCTAGTTGAGTGTGAAGTGAGATGATTAAAGCTCCGTGTGGTTGTTATATTTTTACAAATATGTCTTTTCATCATTTGCTTTTTACTTGCTAAAAAGTTTGAAGGGTTAAAATGTAACACACTTTCAAAAATATTTCTTTTATGTAGAAATTATGTAAGTTCAGAAAAGTTTAAATCTATTTTTAATATTTGAAATATGGTATTAGCTTTTGGATTTAAATGCTTTTTTTTTTCTTTTTGTATTTTGTCCAGAAAGCAAAAAGAAATAGCAAACGTGATAACCAATCAGAAATTGAATTATGACTAGTTTATCTCTTTTGGTTGTTTATTGCTCTACATATTCTAACTATTAAAATTCTATGGTTCATGTTCTTAATTTAACAGCCAGTGGGAATGGGTTCAAAGCTGAGAAGTTGGATAAACCTAAAAAAGAGGAGGAGGAGCCTTCGCAGCAAAATGAGGTTAACAAGCAAGCTGAAGTTGGTGACGCTCCATCAGAGGAGGCTCAAGCAACAGTAAAACCTCAGCAAGTTGAAGGAATAAAAGGGGAAACAAAGCAACATTCTAGAGATAATCATGAGACTGCTGATGCTGAGTCAGGTAAAGTTGAGAGTTTTGAGGCAGATTATGGCCAGGAACCTGCCAAAGAGGAAAATAAGCAATCTTCTGGTGAGGTGCCTCAACCAGAGTTTTATGATGGTTCGACTATTACTCGCAAAATAGAGGTTCCTAATGCTAAGGTATTCTGGCTAATATTTTTTAGCTGTCTCATTGTAAAGTGTTGAAGTGGGTACAAACTAGGTTGATTTTGCCATAGTTTACATCAGCAAAAGTAAAAGTAACCCTTTTTGTACTTTAATCTATTTAATCCCATATCCATGGTGGCTCAAAATACTGTGGTCCGTTTTTAATTTTTTCCACTAATGTTGGGCCCTCATTTTCTTCCTCTCCCTCTCTTAACCTGGATGTCCTCCATTAACTAACATCTTCCAGCTGGGATTTCCTTTTTTATGTGTAAACTACCTTAAATTGTTTCCTGCATTTTTTTGTTCAATGTTGGTGATCTCCACCTTTTTCCTTATACACACATTCCTAGTCATACCTTTCCTTTTCATCCAAGTAATGCTTAATCGTCTTTCTTTATAGCATTGTTGTCTCAGCCATGCTCATTATTCAGTTTGCATGTTTTAATAAAAAGCTCAACTTGAATTTGTTTAGAAATTATGTTTTGTGATTTTTATTTCTGAATGCTTGCTGCAGGTCGGTGTTCTCATTGGCAAGGCAGGGGATACTATAAAGTACCTGCAATACAACTCTGGGGCAAAAATTCAAATTACCAGGGATGCAGATGCTGATCGGGATGCTCCAACAAGGCCTGTGGAAATGATTGGGACTTTGAGTAGTATAATCAAGGCTGAGAAGCTTATAAATGCTGTCATAGCAGAGGTTGTATGGTGTTTCTCAAGTTTGTTTCTTCATGTGTCCCCCCATGTTGTCATTATTTTCCATGTTCCTAACCCTTCCTCTACCGTTAAATTTTATTTCCTTCACTTTGGCATTAACTTTTGTATTTTTTTCAGGCCGATGCAGGGGGTTCTCCTTCCCTTGTAGCTAGGGGCCTTGCTACCACACAGGTTGCTGGAGCTGCCAATCATATTGAGATACAAATTCCAATTGAGAAGGTTATTCCTTTTTCTTTCTTTTTCCCCTGTATGTACCTCCAAGAACAGGTACACAGGTATTCATTCATCATCATACCTGTTCAAGCATGCATCAGTCTTCCTGATCATGGTGTATGTAATCTTTCCTGTATCAGGTTGGTTTAATCATTGGTAGAGGTGGGGAAACTATCAAAGGACTGCAGACCCAGTCAGGGGCTCGCATTCAGGTAGTTGATATTTGTTTGCCTCTGTCTGGATTTTTGTTCTTGCAAAATCACTCCTGCCAACCCTTACGATTTAATGTCTGTGTAGTTGATACCTCAAAATCTCCCAGAAGCGGATGGATCAAAAGAAAGGATGGTGAGAGTGACTGGTGATAAGAAGCAAATTGAGATTGCCACAGAAATGATAAAAGACGTTATGAATCAGGTTTGTTTTTTTTTTACCTTTAATCATTCTCCATAGAATTAATTTTCTAATGGTATTTAAACTGCATCCAGTGTGAGTGTTTCTTTATCTTTTATTGAATATTTTATTACTAGAGTAAAAGTATTTACTTTGGTGAAAGATTGACTTAATTTGTTATTGAATTGCCAGCAATAACTATTGGTATAAATTTATGTGATCTTTGATCTCTCAATCCACTCATTCGTGGAGTTTTGTTTTGGAACATCCAATTTTAATTATATCTTTGTGCTGATGACTTAAACCCATTTAACTTATGAATGATGCTAGTTAATAACATGTCATGAGCAAAATATTATTACTTGTGTTGCTGGGGATTTTGCTTGTATGCTTTCCTGGTAGATTTAGTAGGTGGGAGTTAGTGGAGGGGCACAGGTTCTTATTTGGAGGTATGATTGTTTTGTTGGTAACTTCAAAAATCTGTTATTCTCAGCATGTGCAATATATAGTTGATGGAATCACAATATCCCTATCAGATGACATTGTTTTAAGAACACATGCATGTAGAATTGGTATTTGTGATGCTAGCCTTTTCCTTAAATAAAATATGCCCTCTATGAGATAGGATTTCAGCAAAGGATTATTATTCTATACACTAGTATTTAATATTTTAAACTCTAGAAGCGGGTCAGAATTTTGTTATGTATCTATTTTATTGATGTAAGAATTTATTAATTTTCTTAAATATATCCTAATAGGACATTTGGCAACCCTCTAATCCTGTTTGTGGAGTTTAAAAACTCCACCATTGGTGTATAGATAATTTTCCTTTTAGCAAATCTTTGAAATAGCAAGTCTCAGATTGTATATAATTGGGTGGGTACAGACAGATCTATCTCCTTCAATGGATTTGCCAAAGCAAACAATCAATTGTAGTTAACTGCATTATCTTCTCTTACATGTTGTCATCCAACTTGAGGAAGACTTATTTCGTAGTTTCTCCATGGGAGTGAGAGTTTTATTTCTTTAATAAGAGTGTGAATGATCCATGCCAACATCACTTGAATGCTATTAGGGCCATAATATATTCAATCCAAGATGCCGGTTGCCATGCTTTATTTATGTTGAAGGTGCCGATTTCGAATTCGTTGGCTTTAAAATATGCAGATTTGGATAGCCTTTTCCATGGGGTCAGCATTGCTCTCTTGGTGTAGCAATAGACAACCACTATTCCCCTTCATCTACTGAAGAGAGGTATCCGGCATTAAACTCATATTGCAAGATGTTAATAGTTGGTAAGATTGCTTTGAGACTTGAAAATTAAAAATAATAATGTAGTGAGACTGCATGTAAGCCGCCTCCATGTTCTATGCATGAGATGTGTTGGAAGAAGTGCACCTGGTGAAGTCATCATATCTGAAATGTATATTGGATCAATACCTTCTTGAATATTGTTTGATGCTATGCTGAAACTGCTGAAGAATATGGTACTTGTCCTTTGATATGTATAGAGGTGATGCACGATTTTTGTAAGCATATTGTTATAAGATCAGAGAAAGAATTGACATGGTGTTACATTTATATCATGCTACACCACTTGGATGACATGATCTTGTGTGAAAAATTTAGCATATCCTTTTTGTCGTTTAAGATGCCTGGAAGATTAGATGTTCACTTTTATCTTGGTTAACTCATGAAATTCCATATTCGTATCTTTAATTATTAGCACTTAATCTCTACATTTCAGTGTTTGATTATTGATTGCTCTGATGTTCTTTTAATCTGTTTTGGAGGGAAATGCCCAATTGTGAGATTAGTCTGCTTAAATAGAATTTTAGTATGTTAAATAAGTGATGATATTCATTGTGTATTTTGTCCCCTTCATAAAAGTTTGAATGAAGATGGTTTCAACAGACTTGTTCCTTTCTCAGCTTGCTCATCTTTCATTCTCGTATAAATAGTTTCATCATTTTTGCTGTTGTATTTGGGTATTTGCTTTTTTCTTGAACCAAGATGTGACCTAGTAGCCTGTTTTATTTGAGTAACGTGGTCAAGCATGATGTTGAGGCTTACTTTCTTCCTTCTGATTGTTTTCTTTTAATCAGTGAATGAAATTCCTTCTATCAACTAACATATTATTTTGTTAACTGAATAGACTGTCCGGCCTTCATCTCTGTCTGGTGGTTTCAATCAGCAGGGCTATCGACCTCGGGGAACCACTGGTCCAACTCAATGGGGTCCCCGGGGCCATCCTGCCCAGACAGCATCATATGATTATCAGCAACGGGGACCATATCCATCTCAAAACTCTCATTATCAACCTCCTTATGGTGGCTACCCTTCTCATCAAATGGCTACAAGAAGCAACTTTGGTTATAATTGGGAGCAGAGGCCTCATAGCATGCAGGGACCTCCACAGAGTGGAGGTTATGATTACTACAGCAGGCAAGGAAGTGTCTCTGCCCCACATTTGACTTCAATTCCTGGGCATGGACCTGGACCGTCGCCTGCTCCAGGTATGGCACCAACATCATCTCAGTCAAATTATAATTATGGTCAGCCTCATGGTCCAGCAGATTATGTGCATCCACCACCCTATTCCCAAGTTGCTCCCCAGCATAGCTATGGACATGGATATGAAAAATATGAAAATTATACACCAGTCCAGCATCCTTATGGAGGACATGGGTCTTCTCAGCCGGGATATGCACAGCCAAGTCCTCAACCTGGGTATGCCCCTCAGCAGCTGTATGGCAAGCCGCCATCATATACCATGCAGTCACAAGGACCCCAAACATATGGTCCTCCCGCCAATCAGCCAGGAGAAGTACCGGGTCAAGGTCCAACTTTCCAGTCATATGGTCTGAATATGCCTCAGCAGCAATATCAATATGCATCAAGTGGGCCCATGCAACAAAGCTATCCTCCATATGGCTCTGCACCGCCTAGTGATGGGTATAGTCAGCCTTCACCTGCAACTGGCCAGGGTTATCCACAACAAGGTAGCCAGCCTGTTCCTGGTTACAGTCAGCCTTCTCAGCAAGCAACTGCTTATGTACAAGCAAGTACTGCTGCTGGATACGGCGAATACCCACCCTCACAACAGGGCTACTCTGAACAGCCAGCTCCAAACAATGCAGGTTATGGCTCTCAAGGGGTGCAAGATTCTGGTTATGGTGGTGGCCCTGCGGCAACATATGGTGCACCACCACAAAGTGGCCAAGCAACTTATGCTCAATCAACAACAGCTCAGCCTACCTATGATCAGTCTGTTCCTCAGTCTGGTGGTTATGCGGCAGCACCAGGTAGTGCACCTGTTGCGTATGGAAAAACAGTATCACCACTGCCTGGATATACTCAATATGATTCGACCCAGATGTATGCTGCACCTCGTTGACAATTTTCTTGTTGTGTTGGTGATAATGTAGTCGACGTTAATTTTGCCTTGGTTTTGTTTTTGAGGTTTTCGTAATGCTGTGTGTCTATTTCGTACAGTTGGTGGTACTTGGTTCTGTTTTATTCCCATGTCCTTTGGATAATGGACATGAAAATGCGGCTAGTTTTGTTCTCCTTTTATTTTGTGGTCTGATGAAACACTTCATAATAGTTATATATATAGTATGCTGCCTGGTCACTGGATATTCAATCAAATGAAACTGGGTCCGCCGTGGAAGCATTGATAAGAGTAGCAGTGAGCCCTCCGAGTTCTATGGTTTCCGCCGACTGCAAAGTCCCCTAGGAAATCCTCCTCGCTGCTGGTCTAGAGAGTTTGTTTATAATTGGTTCAAGCAAGTTTAGAGAGGTTGGTTTATAATTGGCCGCATCCTTTCGGCTTTTGCTAAAAAACATAGATTCTTATACCAAATACAATAATGATTGCGCTGTCCGTGTTAAACTTTCTAGCAGCCTCCTTGCGAGCGTCATGCTCACTGTCGTACATGTAAAAGTCTCAACTTATTTTATAAAATCATTTCTGGAGATAGTTTATGTTCTGATAGGTGGCAAGTGGGTAATTGGAATGGGTACAACGGATCGAATTTAAATAATTTCGAATTGGATCATTTCAAGTCTAAATTATTTAAATTTTATCTCATTTTAAGTTAGCATTTCTGATAATATGAATTGTATCATTTTGTACTTTAGTTAATTTGAATTCATATTGTTTCAAGATTTAATTTTTTTTTTACTTTTCTTAATAAAATTGGATTGGGTCAGTTTTTGTTTCTAACTAGTTGAATGAATTTTAATATTTGAATTAGTTTTGACAGTTTGGCAGCTTATATTTTGATCAAATATTTTTTATTTATTTTGTTAAAAATTTCTTTATCATATATATATATATATATTGAAAAAAAAGGATTTCAAGTTTCAACTCTACTTTTTAAGAGTACATTTGACTCAGCATGGTGCGGTTGACGATCCCAACCACGCTAGAGACATGTTTGATAAAAAACGATGCAGTTCGATTGGGCTCCTTTAGTGTGGATATTTTTCTTCCGATGACTCTCCCCTTTCTAATTTACACCATTCCTTATTCCTTTTATGCTTTTTTTTTTTTTTTTTATAATTTTGCTATTATTTTATTATATTTAAAAATTTTATCTATCATATTTTTTCTTTTTCAATAGTTTTTTTTCCTTCGTATTATCTCATATTCTTTATTTCCTAATGTAATAAATAAATAGCCAAAACAATAAAAATAAATAAATGAATATACAGCTATAAAATTATAAATAATTATATTTTGATCACAAAGCCTGCTATTGCAAAGAATTTTTGGTTGATGATGACTTTCAACTTGGGCATCAGTTATAATGTTATCTTCTAAGCATTGTGTTGATTTAAATATAGAGCCTTCTTGGAGGAAAAGAATGGTTTCAAGACATTTTACAAATATCATTTTCCTAGAGATTTATTTCATCCCTACCAATTAGATATGCAAAAAAGGATAATTGAAATGTCTTTAGGATATAATGAAGTCATGTTTGAAATCACTTTATACTTGTAATATCAAACTTGTAAACACCATTGATGTGTGATTGAAATACCTTGCTTTGAGCAAAGTTTTTTGCAGCAAAACAATGAAAAAGGCACTTGCCTTCTATTTGAGAGTGAATGAGAGAAAGATGAGAATGATTTCAGAAATTTTCATGATATGAAAATACGCACTAATCATCTTTATTTATAGAAGTTGAATCTAATGGTTGTGACCCTTTGATTAAGTTATTTCAATTAATCATCACTTCTTTTAATTAAGAACCTACTTTTATGAATAACTACAAATGTTATTATTCACCTCAAATATCATTTGAATAATTATGATTTATTCCAAGCGAAATCAGTTTTCATGTTCCAAAAAATTACAAAATTTCAATTAGAACAGTCAACTCCTCCTCATAGGCAGTTTGTCTTCCCTTTTGTATTTTTCAGTTCTAGAAATGGTATGTAAAATAGGGTACTCCACTTCTTCTGTAGGCAGTCGACTTCCCTAATATTCGAAAATATTTCTAGCATAAGGTTAGTCGACTTGCCAGCTAATAGTTGTCGAATGCTCAGTATTGTTCTAAAATAGAAGACTTTCCAAGCATAGCAATAGATTGTCTTAGGTTAAGTAATCGACTGGCTTGATATCCAACCATAGCACTCAACTTTAATGGAAATGGCAATTGATTGCTCCTTTGTAAATTTTGAACAAAATTGGACAGAAACTTTTGTTTGTTTTTGGAGTGCATGGCAATCGATTCCTCATGTATGGCAATCAACTGCTCCTATTACAATTCTTTTCCATTTCATTCTTTTCATGTTTTGAATCAATTCCATAACCATATAAAACTTCTCTTTAGTTATCTCAAAGCTTTAATTAGTTTCTCTTCGATTATGATTTTTACTTAATCAATAACCTTTCAGTTATTTTAAAAATATTTCCAACATTATAAAAATAAATACCTATTATTTACGTTATTTATATTCATATTCTTTAAGTATTAAATATTTTTAAGTATTTTAGAATTTTTATTAGTTAAAATTAATATTATTTTAATATAAAATAATGTTTCAATATTTGATTGAATAAATTTTAATATTTTAAATGTTAAATGAAATTAAAATATATACAAAAATAATTTATTAACAAACTTTTTGGATTAATATCTTTAATGATAATTGTTTTACGTGAGCATTATCATTGTTTTACTAAACACAGTTTTTTCCCTTTGATTTTGATCTCATTACTATATACAATTTGACTACAATTGTTTTTAATCACACTAGAGTCAATCTCACTATTAGCTCAAGTGTAGATAATTATTTAAGAGGGAATAAATTTTATTATCTTCAAATTCTTTCTAAAAAATAAATTCTAATTAAATATAAAATGGAAAATATAAAATATAAAAAAATGAAACTAAAGTACAAATAAACAACAATATCAATAAAAAGAGTATAAAAAAAAAATCAAACACAAAAATTTATAGAGGTTCAATTTTTCTTTAAAGATACCTATGTCCTCTCCTTTAGCTATGTTAGCAAAGTACAATCCATTAGTAGAAAAATTCTTTTTACAAATTACAATTCTTATATTTTATGGTCAAGATAACAACCTCTACCTTTTCAAGATTGTACCTAATTTTTCTTACAATATCATTCAAGAGGATACCTCATCCCTTGATTAAAAAATCCCCTTTGAATATAAAATAATTTACAAACTATGAAATACCTCTTAAAGGTTAAGTGTTTGCCTAATTTAAGTATAATGAGAGAATAAATGGATACAAATGGATATTGAATACAAAGATAAAGAACTTAAGCTCTAAATACTTTAATGCTTTTAAATTCTTAAAAAAATGAATATAAGGATTTTTTATACGTTATTTGTCTTAAAAAATATGTTGGAATACCCATTTTATAAATAAAATGAGTTTGGAGGCATTGCAAAAGATGAGAAGGTAAAAAGATCTATTATTTCTTAGAAAAACTAGCTATTAGAAGCTGTTAAAGGCTATGGGATCGATCCTATTGATTGGGTGTAAAACGCTACAAGTTTATAGGCTCAATTAATAAAATAATGAGTTGGGTAGACCTGATAATTCGTGTTACTGTATCATGTAAAATACTGTATTCATGTTGTGTTTTACCCGAATATCACATTTCACAATTTGTATCAATCCAAAAATATAAAATACAAATTTTTTGTTTTATTAAACTTATTTACGATTTTTTTTTAAAAAATTTTAAGCCATGTTATCTTAGTGTATTTTATTTGTATAATTTTCGTATCGTGTCATCATGTCGTGTTTCAAATTGCCAAGTCTAGAGTTCTATATCGTTCTATTAAGGATTGATTTGAGGTTTGCCTAGGTTTAAATACCAATGGACAACATTCTCAAAATATATTTAGTTTAATTGAAGTAAAGAAAGTTGATTTATAGCTAATCTAAACTAAGAAAGCATGGTATATGCAAGTAAGTAACAAAGTAGTGCAAATGATCAAGTAAACAAGTGAACTTAAATCTAACCTGGAATGCACGGAAATGGTAGAAACTAATATGAGCAAGTATTGAATTTAAAGAAAGAAACATTTGACTACTATGTAAAAAAAAGGAAATTGCAATTAAAAGATATCATGGAAACCAAATAGAGAAGTGCATGAAATGAATATGAACAAACCTAAGATATAAGTGCATTGTTGTGAAAATTTAACCTAGATCTAACAATAATTTAAATACTATGCATGTAAACAATGAAAATCGAGACAAAAAATGCAAATCGAACATGAAATCTCTGAACCAAATTTGAATTTTTAGCATTTTAAAACCTAGATCTAGACTTCAAACAAAAGCATAAACTTAAAAGGAACTAAAAACTTCAATTTCAGTAAGTAAACTTCAAAGCCAACAAAACAAATCAGCTTAAAACATTTAAAAACAACTTAACGAACACAATCAAGATTCATCATTCAAAATAGAGAAAATAGAGTAAAGAACATTCAAACTAAGAAATCAATAAGTAAATACATCAATTTGAAGGAAAGCAAATGTAAATCATCATGTAAACTCAAGAAGAAACAAGTAACAATAGGTAAAAAAGATTAGACCAGTTCTTAGCTAGCTGAAAAAGAGCCAAATATCCTCTACACATCATCCTTTACAATAGTAGCAGTAGCAATTCCAAAAATTTTAGTCCAAAAAAATGTAGAATGAATTTTGCAATAAAATTTTCCAAAATTGTAAATCAGCAAATGAATACATTGCAGTAAAAATTTAAAAGAAAAAGCACAAGAAAATTGTTATGAAAAGTTGAAAAAAAAAAGGTAGGCTATACAAGAAATTAGCCAAATAACATTGAAAAACTACTTGAAATTGCAAGAAAATGAGTTAAATTACATATAAACTTGTGAAGAACATTAAAATAACTATAAATTGCATAAAAAAATAAATTACATGAATAGAAAAATAGTGTTTGGCAACCCAAAAAGTGAAGGAAAACATATAAATGTAAATTCACTCTACACTACTCCAAATCCTAATCTAAATGCAAGAAAGTAAATCTAATCTCCAATCCCTCCAAATGGTAGCAAAAGGGGGTATTTATAGGTAGTTAGGGATGTGTTTGGACCAATGAAGGAGCTGTATTTTACCAAGTCATCCTCCAAGTTGGTAAATGAAGTGTACATAACAAGTTTTCATCATACTAGTGTAGTAATTTGTTTCTTCACTTCTAAAGGAACTTTGAGCTGCAATTTTGGTAATCCAAGTGTTGTTCAATTGACCAATGAGAGCTCTTTAAATTGCCAAGTTAGTAAGTCCTTTCCTCAACTCTTGAAATTCAAATTGTGTTCACACCTAATAGGTAAACTACTCCAAAACAGTCAAATGACTTTGTTGCCCATTCCTTGTTAAATTTGAGCTAATTTGTGCATGATCCTTATGCTCCAATTTTAGCTAATGAGAGTCTAATAAAATGCAAACTCATCACATAATTCCTCAGCCAAATTTCATCTAGTTTCTAATTCCCATTCAGCTCACTAAACCTTATAGTAGCTGTCTATCATCCTTTGATCTTGTAATCATTTTTCTTTCACTCTTTTCATTCTTCCTTTAGCTCAATGAAGTCCTTAAGCATTTGATCATTTACGAAAATGACTTGAGCATTACTTAACTTGTTTCAAAGCATCATTGGCTACCTCAATTTAGCTTAACATCTTC